CGGGAGGCTGAGGCAGAAGGATCCCTGAGCCCAGGAAGTCGAGACCCTGAATCCAAAAAATAAATGAAAATAAAATAAATTAAAAGTTCTGCCTTTAGATAAAACCAACTCACACTTTGAATTTTCCATTGGTTGCCATATAATTATCAGTGATTCTAGACAACACAGTGATTCTTGTGTTGTCTGAGCCAGTAGCTACTAGTCATCTGTGACTACTAGCACTTGAGATGTGGCTAGTCTGGGTTGAGGTAGGCTGCAAGTACAAAATACACACGGGATTTTGCAAGCAATATGAAAAACAACAAGAAACATCTCATTAAATTTTTTTTTTTTTTTTGGAGTCTCACTCTGTTGCCCGGGCTGGAGTGCAGTGGCACACTCTTGGCCACCATAGCCTCGACCTGCTGGGCTCAGTCGGTCTTTCGGCTTCAGCCTTCCAAGTAGCTGGAACTACAGGCGTGCACCACCATGCCTGGCTAATTTTTTGATTTTAGAGATGAGGTCTCACCAAGTTGCCCAGGGCGATCTCGAACTCTTGGGCTCAGTCAATCCTCTCACCTCTGCCTCTCAAAGTGCTAGGATTACAGGTGTGAGCCACCGCACCAGCCCTCTTTTTTTAAAATTTGAGACAGAGTCTCACTCTGTCATTCAGGTTGGAGTGCAATGGTGTGATCTTAACTCACTGCAGTCTCAAACCCCTGGGCACAATCAATCCTCCAGCCTCAGCCTCCCAAGAAGTTGGGACTACAGGCACACCACACCTGGCCCTCATCAATTATTTTCAAATCGATTACTTTATTTAATATTGACAACATTTGGATCTATTGTGTTAAATGAAGTACATTAAGCATTTATTTTGGCCAGGTGTGGTAGCTCATGCCAATAATTCCAGCACTTTGAGAGGCGGGGGTGAAAGGATTGCCTGAGTTCAGGGCCTTGAGACTAGCCTGAGCAACATGGCAAGATCTCATCTCTACAATAAATTTAAAAATTAACTGGGTGTGGTGGTGTGCACCTGTGGTTCCAGCTACTTAGAAGACAGAAGGATCACCTGAGCCCAGCAGGTTGAGGCTGTGTTTGCCGTGAATGTGCCACTGCACTCCAGCCTGGGTGACAGAGTGAGAATCCGACTCAAAAAAGAAAACAAAAAAACTATTTCCCCTGTCTCTCTTTTTTTTTTTTTTTTTT